CCAGCACTTACACGGCAGCTAACAACTGTCTGTAACTCCAGTCCCAGGGGATCCGACCACCTCTTCTGACCGACCTCCATGGGCATTGCACCACACGGGTGCACTTACCTACATGCAGGCAATACACACATACACATAAAATAAAATTTTTTTAAAAAGCCAGGCGTGGTGGCACACACCTTTAATCCCAGCATTTGGGAAGCAGAGGCAGGCAGATCTCTGTGAGTCCAAGGCCAGCCTGGTCTACACAGTGAGTTCCAGGACAGCTGGGGCTATACGGAGACCCTGTCTCAAAAAGACAAAAAAAAATTTTTTTTTAAAATAGCAGCAGACAGATAATTCTATAAAATGGGTGCTTACAAAAGAGTAGAAATGGACTGGGTAAAGTTAAGGCAATCAGTTGGAGTTCCTGAATGAACTTTCTCTCCATGGATGAGCTTTCCAAGGCTGAACTTTCAGCTTCCTGTTTTCAACACAGGCACTTTTATATTATGGGATAAACATTAGTAACCTCAGTTGGAAATAATTTACCTTCTTTTAAAAATATTTTATTATTTTATATGTATAAGTGCATGGTCTACATGTATTTAAGTGCACCCCTGTCATGCAATGCCCACGGAGGTCAGAAGAAGGCACCAGATCCCCTGGAACTGGAGTTACAGACGGTTGTTAGCCAGCACGTGGGTGCTGGAAAATCGAACCTGGGTCCTCTGCAAGAGCAGCCAGTGCTCTTAACTGCTGAGGCATCTCTCCAGCCCCTGGTTTACCTTCTACCTGTTCTCAAGGGACAGTGTTTTTAAGACTCTTAGCTGTTTTCCTTTCTCCTTCTACAGAGTTAGAAGGACAGCCTTCCCCAGGACAGGGAGTTTTACAGGAGACAGGGAGGATCTCAGAATTCTTTCTTCTTTTTGGTCTTTTTGAGACAGGGTCTCCCTGTAGCCCCAGCTGTCCTAGAACTCACGATGTAGACCAGGCTGGCCTTGAACTAACAGAGATTGGCCTGCCTCTGCCTCCCCAGTCTGGAATTAAAGGTGTACACCAACACACCCAGTCAGAGTCTGTTTTCAACAATCTTAAATAACACATAATAATTTATTAACATAAAGTACATTAGACCCCTGAAACCTACAAAATTCACAAGACCCACAGCAAAGCTATGAAGCAGTAACTGCAGTAACAATTGCTGAGGGAGACTCTGGCCAGCTGAGTTATGTGCAAACTGTGCAGGAAACTTCAGGGATGGCTCTTGCTTTTTGGTGGTAGTGTTATTTTGTTTCAGTTTTGTTTTTTTTCTTGGTCTTTTTGAGACCACTACATATAAGAAGCTAACTTCAATCTGCCTGCCTCTGCCTCCGAATGCTGGGATTAAAGGTGAAGTCCACCATGCCCAGCAAAGTTGTTTTTGTTCCTTACTCCTTAACTTATGAAGTTTAATGAATACTTAACATGTCTGCAAGGAAGGATAAATTTGTTTTTGTTTTGAGACAGGGTCTTACTATGTAGCCCAGGTTGGCCTGGAACTCAGAGAAATAAATGTGTTTCTGCCTCCCAATTGCTATGGCTAGGATCAAGGTGTGCGCCACCAGTCTGGGTATCATGTTTGAGTTGGAGTGGACTATTCAGTGATGCAGGTGCCTTTGCGACATCTGTGCTCCCGTAAGTAACCCCAATAAATCCACTGGCTCACCAAGCTAGACTTGGGAGGAATCATTTCTTCATTTGGTTGTTGGTGTCCTGTTTGGGGTGAAAAGACAGCTGTTCATGTTCCCCAGGAAGAGCCTTTCCTTTTCACAACCCTAGCAAATGTGACTGTTTGTCCATTGGGGCACTAAGTATCTTCCTCTTTCTTTTTTTAAATTTTTTTTATTTTGGGTCTTTTTGAGAAAGGGTCTCCCTGTAGCCCCAGCTGGCCTGGAACTCACTATGTAGACCAGGCTGGCCTTGAACTCACAGAGATCTGCCTGCCTCTGCTTCCCAAGTGCTGGGACTACAGGTGTGTGCCAACTGCGTCCTGCTGTCATCCTCTTTCTTTTAACAGAACAAAATTCTGCAGTTTTTCCCCTTTTATTTCCATATCACCTTTCTTTTCCTCCTTTACCTCAGCCACCTCTGACTCCTTACAGGTAAATTTCAGCATCAAATGTATTAATCCATGTGAGATGTACAGGAAATGCCTGGCATATAGTAAGCATTAGATACTTCAGCTCTTGTTATTACACTGTTTTACATAATTACCAAATTTAATCCTTACAATAACTATGATGTAGATGCTGCTTTTACTCTAATTTACAAATGAAGAAACTAAGACTCAATATGGTTAAGTAAGGTATCCAATGTCTTGGCTCCTAAGTGGCAGGTTCTCTTTGTTTTTTTGCTTTGTTTTGTTTCCAACATATATTTTCTATTGAATTTTTGTGTAGTTCATACATCTTAACCATATCTAGAGCCTCTCCCCAAACAAGACAAAAACCCAGCACAGAACTGGGGAAATAGGCAGGAGGCCCCAACCTTAGCCAACGAACTACTGGCAGCTGATCACTGGTTGGTTTTCAGTTTTTTGTTTTTTTGGTTTTTTTTTTGGTCTCTTTGAGACGGTTTCCCCTGTAGCTCCAGCTGACCAGGAACTCACTATGTAGACCCAGCTGGCCTTGTGATCTGCCTGCCTCTGCCTCCTGAGTGCTGGGATTAAAGGTGTGCACCACCACGCCTGGCTTAAATCCATATTTTTAAGTACATACAAGACATTCTTGGCCATTAGTACTACAAATAAGTTACCTGGATTGCAGGATGTGGTGTCATATGCCTTTAATTGTAGCACTCTGGAGGCAGAAGCAGACAAATCTCTGTGAGTTTGAGGCTAGCCTGGCCTACACAGCCAAGTACCAGACCAGTCAGGGTTACATAGTGAGACCCCGTTTCAAAAAAAAAAGTTACCTGGAATGCCTAGCGCAAAGGCAGATTTGAGGCTATCTAACCTAAGAAACAAAAACCTTCAGAGGGGCCTGGGCATGGTAGCACATTCCTTTAATTCTAGCACTCAAGAGGTAGCGGTAGAGGTAGAAGTAGGTAGATCTCAGGCTAGCCTGGTCTACACAGTGAGTTCCAGGATAGTCAGGGCTATATAGTGAGATCCTGTCTCAAAAGCAAAACCAAAATTGTCAGAGGGCGAGAAAAATCAGTTTTTCTAAAAAGTGCTTCAGGTTATTTTAATGTAACTGATGCATCAACAATATTTGAGGAACTTAGCCTCAGCTGTCCTGGAACTATGTTGACCAGGCTGCCCTTGAACTCACTGCCTCTGCTTGCTCATGCTGGAATTAAAAGCATGTGCCACTACACCTAGCTAAGATTTTTTTAAAAGTGTATCTTGCCAACACATATATACGTGCACCATGTGTGCCAGTGAAAGAGAAGAATGCATCGAACTCCTTGGAACTGGGGTTAAAGACTGTTGTGAGTCTCCATATACATGCTGGGAACCCAATCTGGGTCCTCTTGCAAGAGCAGCAAGTACTCTTAACCACTGAACCACCTATCCAGCCTGTTGAGAAACTGAAAAAGATATTCTTTGATGCATTCACAGAGAACAAATGAGAAGACCAAAGCACACTTAACAATGGACAGCTTATGAGGCAGGAGGACAGTGACTGGACAACTTTCATTTTAAGGTATTCTGATGAAACAGATGTCTACATTTTCTTGAATGAGATGACTTTTTTTCTTTTTCTGATACTGTGTACCGGACTCAGAGCCTCACACATACTAGGCAAGCACTCTGCCAATATTTGTATACATATACATATATATATATATCCATATTCCAATCTTCTTTTTACTTTTTTGAGACAGGATCTCCCTAAGTGTCCCAGACTGACCTAGAACTCATGCTGTATCCAGACAGGCCCTGAACTTGTAATCCTCCTGCCTCAGCCTCCCAAATAGCTAGAATTACAGGCCTGCTCCATCAGGCCTGGCTAACAGGTGATTTTTAAAACTATTTTAAGGATCACTGGCGCTTGTTGGCCACCACTTCTAGGTACAGTAAGTGACTCTGCCATAAAGGAATGAAGTAGAGAGTGACAGAGCAGGAAATCCATAGTCTCTTGCAAGGTTGAATGAACACTGTTGGGGACCTGCATAAAGGAACAGGGGTGATGTGTGGCTCCCCCTAAAAGTTACATTCTTGGGGCTGGAGAGATGGCTCAGCAGATAAGAGCACTGGCTACTCTAGCAGAAGACCTGGGTTCGATTCCCAATACCCACATGGCAGCTAACAATCGTCCATAGGTCCAGTTCCAGGGAATCCAATGCCCTCTTCTGGCCACCATGGGCATTGCATACATGTGGTGCACTTACATACATGGAGGCAAAAAACTTATACACACAAAATAAAAAATAATTAAGGGCTGAAGAGATGGCTCAGCAGATAAGAGCACTTGCTGCTCTTGCAGAGGACCCAGGTTCAAATCCCAGCACCCACATGGTAGCTAACAATACTCCCAAACTCCAGTTCCAGGGGATCTGACGCCCTCTTCTGGCCTCCCTGGGCATTGCATGGCACAGGTGCACTTACATACATGCAGGCAATACACTCACACACATAAAATAAAAATACATTTAAATACATATATTTAAATTATATTCTCTTCCCTGGACTAGAGATTTGTGGCCTGAAGCGATATGGGTTGGGGAATACAATTTAGGACATGCAAGCATATGTCTTTAGTTAATCCAAGATTACTATTCACTTCTTGAACAATCTTTAAAAGGTCGTTTACGAGGCGGGCACTTTCTGAACAGAATGGTAATAGTTATCACGTCTGATCATTCATTGACTCAGCCTACTGGGCACTTTCTTGGTGTCAGTGGTCCGTGAAGACAGCTGTCAAAGGCTTGGGGATAAAGAGCCATCCCGGGTGTGCGGCGGGCGCAGCACCGAGTCCCGCCAGCAGAGGGCGCGCTCCCGCCCCTGCGCAGCCTTGGGCCAGAGGCTTCCAGCGCGTCCCCGCCCGCGCGTCACGTGACGCCACCTCGGCCCCTGAATCCTGGGTCTAAGCCGAGCTAAAGTGGTTGCCGGCGGCCACTACGAGTGCCACACCAGAGGCTCACCAGGGACGCGAGGGCGAGGCGGGGGACGTCCATGCGGCCTCTTCCCGATCGGAGGCCCGCGCTTCCGCCCCACCGTCCGCCGTGCGCGGCTCCCGAAGCGTTTGCATGCGCTGTCTCACGCGGGGAGGCCCCGGCGACCATGTAGCGGGTGGGCGTGAGGAAGCCCCGGAGCCTGGGACTAGCTCCGCGCCCTCGGTACGTCGCCTCGCCGCTCTCCTCCGCGTCCCCGCCGCAGCCCGCCGGGCGCTGGGCCCTGCTGGGAACTCCGGCCTCCCGGGGAGACCCGGCCCGAGCGCCGCCAAGTCTCGCCGCGTCTCGCGAGAGTCCAAGTTGAAGGAACATGGCGACGTCTAATCTGTTAAAGGTAAGCCCCGCACTCCGGCCCAGGCTTCGCTCGGCGGGCTACGCGATCGGCTCTCGGGGAATGGCCGGGCTCGGTATGAACGACGGGATAGGCGGGAGAGGGTTCCGGGGATGTCCGCCGGAAGCGAAGCCACGGGGGCTGTCCCCGAGCACTCCATCGCTGGGCCCAGGGGCCTTGGGGTCCGAAGGCTCCGATGGGTCCTCGGCCCGCTGACTGACCGACCTGGAGCGATGCTTTCAAGGGACCAGGCTGGGAACAGCGCTATGCCGCTGGGCTGACCGACTGAGCCATGGGGACTCCTGCGGTCACAGACATTAGTAGGAAAATCCCGAGAAGGTGCTGCCTAGCAGATTTGAGTGACGCGACCCTCCCCATTCCGTGATTTCTGCTGTTCTGCCTGCGAGTCAGTGGTAGTGCCCCCCACTTCCCCCTCCCTGTAATGCACCCTGCACCCCTCCAGTTCCCTCGTTCCTGTCTCCTCATGTTTTTACCCAATTTTGTTCCTTAAACTGCTCTCGACCCCCACTCCCATTATAGGACAAGCAGATGGCACCCAGTGCTGTGATGCCTTCATGGTAGGGTGTGGGAAAGTTCTTATCAGAGAAAGCGTTGGAAAGTTCTAAATAGCAAGGGAGCGGGGCTCAGGGGGGCAGATTCTGCATCATCGGTGTAAAAGTTGGGAAAAGAATGAGGAGTTGGTGCCATCCTCGTGTTTTAATGAGGTCGTCGGCTTTATAAGTACGGATTGGGATAGGGGTAGTGATTGCTTCAGGGATCATAAGCATGTCTTCAGGGATAGAGAACCCTACAGTATCCTGTCTTCTTTTTCTTTCTTTCCTTTTTTTTTTTTTTTTTTTTTTTTTTTCTTTTTTTTTTTTTTTTTGGTCTTTTTGAGACAGGGTCTCCCTGTAGCCCCAGCTGGCCTGGAACTCAATATGTAGACCAGGCTGCCTTGAACTCAAGGAGATCCGCCTGCCTCTGCCTCCCAAGTGCTGTGATTAAAGGCATGCTGATCCCATGCAGGGCTCAGTATCATGTCTTCTTTACATTACTTACAGTAGTTATCTAATACATGAATCTGTCTTATAAAATGAAGAACACTGTACCAAGAGGAAGGTTGTCTCTTGTTTTTTAGTCTTTTTTTTTTTTTGAGACCAGGATCACAGGTAGCCCTGACTGACCTGGAACTCACTATGTAGACCAGGCTGACCTACTCAAGAGACCTGCCTGCCTCTGCCTCCCAAGTGCTGGGATTTTAAAGACCTGTGTCACCATGCCACTGAAGGCTTTTGCTTTTGCTTTTTTGTGTGTGTGTGTGTGTGGTCTTTTTGAGACAGGGTCTCCCTGTAGCCCCAGCTGGAACTCACTCCATAGACCAGGCTGGCCTTGAACTTACAGAGATCTGACTCTGGAGTGCTGGGATTAAAGGTGTGTCTCACAAGTGCTGGAATTACAGGTATGCACCACCAGGCTGGTCTTGAAAGATTGGCTTTTAAACCCACCTGCAGTTAAACTCCCTGAATTCTGCCACTTCAGAACTATGATTTTGAGCAAGCTTCTTTGTTTTTTTGTTTTTTTGAGACAGGGTCTCCCTGTAGCCCCAGTTGTCCTGGAACTCACTATGTAGAGCAGTCTGGCCTCGAACTCACAGAGAAATCACCGGCCTCTGTGTTCCAAGGCGTGAGCCACCACACCCAACTATTAAGCAAGTTTCTCTTCAAGTTTCTTCATCAGGAAAACGAAATGACTGATACATAGCACCCTTTTTTGTGCAGCCATTGCTGGCACTTAATCACAGAATACACTAAATCACAATTACTGTATCTCTTTCTCTAAGATAACCGAGTCAAGCTGGACATGGTGGTGCAGGACTATATTCCCAGTAAGGGAGAGGCTGGGGTGAATCAGCCCAAGTGAGGATCATGGATTCTAGCCCAAACTGTATGTGAAAACCATTGTGAGTTTGAGGCCAGCTCAGGGTACCTCTAGACCAACCACAGGAATTGTTTAACTTATTCTACTCTGCTATCTTTTATAATAGTGCAGCAAAGTTCTTTTTAAAAAATTATTTGTTGCCAGGTGTGGTAGTGCATGCCTTTAATCCCAGCACTCAAGAGGCAGAAGCAGGAGGATCTCTGAGTTCAAGGCCAGCCTGGTCTACATAGTGAGTTCTAGGACAGTTGGGCCTATAGGGAGACCCTGTCTTAAAAAGACCAAAAAAAAAACTTTGTGAGTGTGAGTGCCACAGCATACCTATGGAGGTCAGAAGACAACTTTTGACACATCTCTTCTGCCTGGGTTCTGGGGATGAAACTCAAGTTGTCAGGCTTCTGTGGCAAGTGCTTTTTGTCTGGTGAACCATTTGGCCAGCCCCTAGTTCTTTTAAAAAAGTTAATAAAAAACTTTTAATAATTTTGTGGGAATTCCAAACATGCATACAATGTATTTTGATTACATTCACCCCCTTAATTTATTCATTATCATTGTGTGTGTGAGCACTTGTGCCATGGCTCTGGTATAGCGGTCAGAGCATGACTTTGGAATCAGTTCTTCCATTCTTACTCAGGTTGCCAGGCTTGCAAGGCAAGCACTTTACCCACTGAGCCATCTGATGCATGAATACAGAAAGAATTTTTTTTTATGTTATATAGAGACTATGTTTGATGGTATTTATTAAAGTAGAACATTGGAAATAACCCAGGTGGTCATCACCGCAGCAATAGGAACTTCCATTTCCACAGTCTTACCTTCCCTTCACTTCTGTCTACCTTGTCTGAATCCTTCATCTTAAATGAAACTGAGGACCAGGCTATATCTTTACATTATGAATTCTAATGCTTCTCATCACACACTTTGGATGTCAACATCACACACTTTGGATGTCAATATCACACAGGCTTACTGCTCCTTGATGTCAGCAGCGGGGAGGAAAGGACTCACCGTAATGTACAGTTCCTGGCTGGGTCCCTGTGCTGACCTCTCAGTACAGCAGTTATCCTCTACTGGGACCCTTGATGGCCCCAACTCTTGGGAGACTCAGCAGGAAAGCCAGGAAAAGGGCTCTCAGGATCACAGCTTTGGGCTGGAATACTCCAGAGCACATTTTGGATCTATAGTACACAACAGTGATGAGATACTGAAGCAGGATGGGGATGAACAAGGAGACCTCTGGCACTGAGGAATTCTGTGGCCTGAATACAACCAAAGAGTGAAGGGAAACTGCCAAAAAGAATATTTAACCTCTGAAGGCTCATTCTGATGCATTGATGCATTTACATAAGAAGTATTTGACAGCTCGGTGGCACATGCCTTTAATCCCTTACTCAGGAGGCAGAGGCAGGTGGATCTCTGTGAGATCTAGGCCAGCCTGGTCTACATAGTAAGTTCCAGGCCAGCTGAGGGCTATAGAAAGACCCTGTCTTAAAAAGACAAAAAAAAAAAAGTTACTAGTTTTTAAGAGTAATTGTGTCCCTTCCTTCCATCCATCCATCCATCCATTTATCTCTCCTCTTCTGACAGGGCCTCACTGTGAAGCCCTGGCTAGCCTCAAACACAGAGATCAACCTGCTTCTGGATTAAAGCCATGTTGGTTCCTGATTCTTTGTGAACTTTTGTTTGTTTTGAGACAGGTCTCCCTGTAGCTCCAACTGGCTTGGAACTCAGGATGTAGACCAGGCTGGCCACAACCTCACAGCATTCACCCATCTCAGCCTCCCTAGTGCTAGAATAAAATGCGAGTGCCACCCACCCCTGCCTTTGTGAACGTTTGACTTGTTGATTACTTGGATATAAGGCCCTGTCTGCCCTCTCCTGTTCCCTTAGGAAAGTCACTATTTTACTCTGTACAAAGCCTCACAAAGGACTTGTTGGAAAATACAAACCTAAACCATATTTTCAGTCAGTGGTAGTTAAGTAGCTACCTTGTAAGATTATGAATCTATATCTTTTGTGTACACCTATAGAATGAAAAATTCCACCTGAATGTATGATCAACTCTTAGGGCTCAGATTGAAAACGACAATAAGGATTTTAAAAACCCTGTTTTGGGGCTGAGCAGCACATAAGCAGAGGTCCCAAGTTCAGTTCCCAACATCTTTGTCAGGTGAATCACAACCACTTGCAACTCCAGCTCCAGGGGATCTACTCCCTCTTCTGGCTTCTACTAGCACCCTCATGGATATGGGTACCCTCACCTAAATAAATGTAAAATAAATCTTGAAAAAAACAAACCCTATTTCCAGGTATGGTGGCAAACACCTTTAATTCCAGCACTTGAGAGGCTGAAGCAGGTGGATGTCTGAGTTAGAGGCCACTCTGGCTACACAGTTCCAGGCCAGCCAGGGCTACATAGTGTGAACCCCTGCTTTAACCAAAAAAGGACTGTAACTTAATGACAATACATTGGAACAGCTAGTAAGCAATTCATTGAAGACTGATGCCAGAGATACATTGGGAAGTTTTCAATAAAATTGTTTTGTAAGGGCTGGGCGAGGTGGCACACGCCTTTAATCCCAGCACTAGGGAGGCAGACGAAGGCGGATCTCTGTGAGTTCAAGGCCATCCTGGTCTACATAGTGAGTTACAGGACAGCCAGAGCTACAGGGAGACCTTGTCTCAAAAAGACCAAAAAAAAAAAATTGTTTTGTAAAATTTTGACTGTGGATCTCAGTGTGGTGGCACACGCTTTAATCCCAGTATTCGGGAGGCAGAGCCAGGCAGATCTGTTGCGTTCAAGGCCAGTCTGGTCTACATAGTTTCAGGTCAGCTGGGGCTGCTACAAGGAGACCCTGTCACAAAAAGACCAAAAAAAAAAAAATTTATATATATACACACACACACATCTGTATATAAATATATACAGACTATAGAAGAAAGCAGATTTTCAAAACGAATATTATATAGTATGTGATTTTAGATAGCTATAACTGATACAGTGAAATAAATATTTAATTCTGTTATCTGCATTATCATATTCACGTTTTTGAGTGCTTTGGAACTTT